GAACGTTTTAATCTTCTCTTTGATCCTACTTCCAACCTTTCCTGTCTTTCTCCTAATGGGTAGCCGAAAGATAGCAACCAAAACCGGCACACGATAGTGCATGGTTAATGATTGTGCAAACTGAACTGAACATCCAATGCCAGACCAACGAACCGATGATTTGAATCGGTATTCGTGACCTCGGACAGCTTCGACTCGTTTGGTTCCTTCGTATCTATCTGGAAGGATTTTGTCGCAAAAACACTCGTATAAATTCCACTGGAATCCTTTGCTTTTCGGTCTCAATTTTCATCTTGTCCTGTGTTGGTTGAATTCGCTGATCAGTTGGGCGTAACCGAATTTTTGCGTGTTTTTATCTAATGTAAGATTGGATAGTGTTTCCGTCTATTTTGAGTTTGAGTTATTCAGTAATCACCTATCTATTTCTCACATTGATAGTCTTTCGTTTGATTTTCTGTCTGAATTCCTACAGGATGTGGCAGCTTTTTGGCCATTCTAATCTTCGTGCTGGTTCAGGAAAGATCGTTAATCCAGTGGCAAGACAAAGCTGTGTTCTCTGCATTTTTCTTCGGTGCGGTCGTTTGTCTTGGTTTCTCCTGTCTATTTCACACATTGTCGTGCCACTCGGAAACCATTGGACGACTATTCAATAGGTGAGTACACACGTGGATACAATAGATGTTGACGCTACTTGTGCTGTTGTGCTATAACCACCACTGCTGTATTGTTTGTTGTAACACGTTGCTAAATTCAGCCTTTCAACAGAATCTTTCTTGGTTGTTATGTATTTTCATCTTCATCACATATTCACACTCAGTAGTGTTCTTATGTCGCCTATTGGTGTGTCATTCTTCCTGTAGTGCTATCCTAGTGACGAACACCTCATTTCCCACTCCAAACGCAAATGGTGATCAGATGAGTGACACATGGTATGAAGTCAACTTCAGCATGTCAATCAATTCTCGAATCACATTCTTTCCGTCGGCTTGATGTACACTGTGGGATTTCTGGTACTGATAAACTGATTTTTAGCTGAAGCAGTTTTAATAGTTTATGCTCATAAAATGGGTGGGTTGAGCGTTATTTTCATTGCCATTAGTACCAGGGAAGTAGTTAGGACGAGAACAAGTGGAATGATTGACAAGAAAACCTCTCTCACACAACGCACGTAGTCCAGCAAAACAAACATTATCTGTTAGATTTGTTTTCCACTGTTAGTGTTTCTAAGGTTTTCTTATTCTCTTAGACTAACGAAGTCTGCAATTTACGGATCACCAGGTATTATTCGCGCGCTTAGGTTATTAGCAATAAACACATCCACTCATTGCACTTTCGGCCAGTTTAGATGGATTTCCTCACGGTTTTCCATTTACAGCCACTGATGGAGTGTTTGTTCACAGTCAGCATAACGTAGTATTCAATACAGAACTAAATATCACAAATCTACCTAGCTGTATATGTCGCGAATTTGCGAAATACCGTTTATGAATTTTTCCTTGCTCATTGTCAGTTCCTTCCTTATCTGGTGCAATAAAATCTTTTATCTACATCAGCTGTCGTACAGTGTGAATGATATTTCTAAAGATCTAATGAATCTCATGCGCAAATACACTTGTCTCCCTTACATGTTTTAATTCAAATGATGAATAAGTGAGAATATTAACCATTATTGCGAATCCATTGAATCCACTGAACTGCTTCCAATAAACTCCCACTCTGTTGGGTCCGGTTGACCGCAGGACAATGACTACCGGAACGGTTAATTTGCTTGTCGTTTTGATGGATACCGTATGCTTTTGTAATTTGTTTGGCTTATTGGTGCCCTGGTATGGACCTTTTTGATTCCGCAAGTAGTGGGCATGCCATATCAACATGGAAGTAGTGTTCACTATTCCACCCACATTGGTGGATTTTCTTTGCAACTGAGAAAGAGGTGCACAATTGCGTCCAGTAATACTATCTGCAAAGTTACTGGGTTGCAGTTGAGAAATAGACTATCACCAGTATCTGTCGTTGAAACATGATGATTATATCAGAATTTGATGACTCATTTATTCTTTCTTATGTTACCACCTATAAAAGTGAATTAAGCAGTTTAAAATTCCATTCGGTTGTCCATTATCATCGACGACAGTAAGTAGTATTGTAGAAGAATCACAGCTCACCATCTCCAATGGTAAAAATCATCTACATCGTTCTGATAATCTGGATTTTATGGGGCTGTTTCAACAACTTCGGAACAGGTTGATAGACCCTCACAACAAGGGAATCCCTTGATGTATATTTCAGATAACAATGTAACTACTCGTAAGTAGTGCGATACTAGAGGAGTAGCTGGGGGTTTAGACACTTGCATATTCGTGGTCCGTTTTAATGCCCTGGAAAACTGTTTATTGCACTTGTTTTATAAGCGGATTTTTGGACTGCTACAAAGAAATCTGTATATCGTGGTTTGCAATGGTATTGAAGGAAAGAAGCAATACGTTGGTGGATTGCGTCATCACATTTGGGTAGCCAACTGTATCTTATTCGCGCGATTCAATTTACGCAAACGAAATCCAGGAATTGAAAAATGAAGGCCAGTTCACGAATGAGGATAGATCGCCTAAAACACTGCTCTCGCAAATCATACATACAGTTTATTTGCACCATTTAACAGCAATTTGATTGACCACTTCTTCCTTCTTACCAATGTTTAACAAAAGCATGTAAAGAAACCAGATAAAAAACGTCCAAAAGTCCAGTTGGAAAGCATTTCCAACTCACTGTCCGGTAATGACAACATTGGTGATTCATGGGGTCTTAATTTGTTTTTTTTTTGTGATCATTCTCCGTGTCTTGCCGCAGATACATCATCTACATTCGGTTTTGTGTGCATGGTTGATTACATCGATAAGAATCTGTCTGTCGGATGAGCTTTGTCTTTCTCGGCCTAAACTAAAATGATCAATAAGGTTTTATTCGAAATAAACAGCTGTTGCAAAACTCCTCAAAATATTTTCTCTAAAATAGATCAATGATTGTTTAGCAAATAGATTGTTCTTTGGTTTTTCAAACTGTTTAACTGGTTGTTTTTTCTTCTCATTTACCACAAGATTGGATTACGCTGGTATCGCATTCCTGACGATTGGATCTTTCGTGCCGTACCTTTACTACGCATTTTACTGCATTTTATGGGCCAAACTGTTCTACACCACCTTGATTACCGTGTTGGGTACAGCTGCCATAGTGGTTTCCATGCATCGGTCATTTACTGCACCACCATATCGACCTTTGCGTGCCGGTGTCTTTATGGGACTTGGCCTGTCCGGACTGATCCCATGTATACATACGACCATTTTGGACGGATTCTGGCAATCCGTTCATCACGGATCATTGGGTTGGTTGGTCCTTATGGCTGTGCTGTATCTAAGCGGAGCAACAATCTATGCAGTCCGTGTACCCGAGCGCCTTTTCCCCGGACGATTCGATATTTGGGTGAGTTACTGTTTGTTATCTCTCCATGCAGTGCACTTGTATTCTACGGGAAAATACAAGCGTCATTTTGTTGCCAACTTTCTGTCCAACTACGAATTCTATTGGTTACCTTTTGTGTGTGTTCCATGCTAATCGCTCCAAATCATGTCTTGTTTAATCCTTCTCACCGTTTAAAATTGTTGTTATCACCGTTAAGCTAGTGGAGATGGGGGAATCTGAGCATGCATGTAGCTCTTGTTTTCCGCGGACACGAATATTTTATTTTGTATAGAATCGGGCTAAGCCGATAAACTAAATGAGTATCATCAGTCATTGTGTGATTTAGCGGCATTATCGATCGGTGGAACTGCCTGCTATCACGATTATCGTCGTGGGTATCGGTGTGGGTTGAGTCCGTGCGCAGTGAAGCATTACGCACGTGATCGAGTATGTGCAACTTGGGTATGGATTCTTGATTTGCTTACCGGATTCCTGAATGTTCTTAACAGATTTCTTTGGTACAATGATGACCCATATATGTGACATAGGGTTGGTATCAGACGTCAGTTTTCAAGGGGATGGAAATACCAAAAGGTCAACAATATAGCAAACAAGTTGGTTTTCATTACTTCGACTTCAAGCGTTTAGTTGTATATTTATATATAAGGTGGGAACAATGTGATTGCTTCATCGAGGTTAGATGGGAAACAGCAACAATGTCTGTCAAGTTCGAAAGAGGCAAATGGAAAAGTGGGGATTAGGGACTAAGGTGAATTCTGTAAATTTCCGATGACCTTTTTCCCATGTGACGTCCCACGCCATGTTGCGTCATCACGACATGATTGGGGTCATGGTTTGCTTTGTCACGTAGGTTGGGGCGGGGTCGAGGTCGTTAGAGTGCAGCAAGTATTTTCCCAAATCGATCTTGGTCCCCCTTACTTCCTCTATTTGCTCCTTTTGAACTTGACAAACATTGTTGTTCTTTCCCGTTCGTTTCTACCTTATATATAAGCAAACAACTGTAAACGCCTGAGGTCGAAGTTAAGAAAACCAGCTTGTTCGCTATATTGTTTATCTTTTGATATTCTTCTGAGAATCTTATATAGATGGAAGTATCCACCATGTTGATGCTTTGGACAATTCTCACACTGGCGCAGTTCACTTAAGTTCCTTTTTCATAACCATTAACCACACAGTAGATCAGAGCCCGTGGTTTGCAAGCAGGGCCGTTTAACTAATCATCCCCATTCTTAAAGTATACTAACATCAGTATAAACGTGTCACTGTTTTTTGTCCGTGTATTCATGTGGGCTTGTGTGATGATAAAGGAGCATTCCCGTAAGCCAGTGATGGTGGTGATGAGAGGTCTTTGTGTACGGA